CGTGGTCTTCTTGCAGGTGCGCGGCGGCTTCTTCAACCTCAGGTCCGCTATGGCGGACTATCTCCTTCGGCTGCCACCTCGGCTATGGCGCATCAGGCCCTGCATACGACGGCATGCATGGAATAGCGGGTACCAGCTCCGATACCAATGCAATCAGACTCGTTCTCAAACACACTTTTCATGCATGTAAACAGCAACGCAGTATACTAGCGACATGCGGCCACTCAAAACTCAGAGATATGACTTTCAGATACGAGTTCACTCTCAATTGGCTATGGCGACTTCAGCGCCCAAACATCTCACTGTTCACATACACTGGATCACCCTGGATATCCCACACACATCACTCTAACACTCGAGCACACACACTTACTCACTACTAACTACAGCTATGGCAGCTATGGCTGCCTCTAACCTATCGCTATGCTAACTCCTCCTCTCTTGCCCACTGTGTCCTCCGGGCTCATCTGCAGACCTCCTTGCACAAGTCGTTGTGGCAGCGCTTCCGCATGGCTCACGCCGGAATGAATGAATGGCTGGGCGCTGCCTCTTGATTTATACTTCAGAAACTCGTTGGTCTGCCCTTCGCCATCGGCCCTTGGTGCTCACAGTCCCCCTGTGGTATTTGCTGGACCGGACTGGCACTGACTGGACCTTCTGCTGACTGACTGTGGACTCACCGCTATCCTACCAACGTTGTACTGCTGTTGCACTGCGGTTTAGTCCACCACTTGCCTCACCACTTGACCACTTGCCCACTTGCCTACCTTCTAGAAGGTCTACAGCTAAGCTTCCGGAACTCACTAAGACTCCTACGCTATAGACCTACAGATCGAACCCCTGCTGCCTATGGACCTACGACAGGCCTACCAACTGCCTACGAATACACAGGTCACAGGTTCAATTCCCGGGGTCTACACAGATACTGTACATGGGTAGGGTGAGGTCTAGGGATCGAACCCTGGGTACTGCATCCGCTACTGCTAAAAGGTGAAAACCGTTTCATACCTGTCAAATCTGGACAGGAAGGCCTTTCAGGCCTTTTTCATTACGAATTTCTGGGCTGAGAAAACAGGAAAAAGGCCAAAAAAAAACAAAGAAACAGAGACATCCCCCCTGAAACCACAGCAGAGTGCTTCCCAGCCATCAGATCACAAATGATCTGATGGTGGTGGTTGCAAAAACAATGAACAAAGTAACCGCCACATTTTCTGGAATAAACCCGACTTCTGTCAGCAGTGATCCTGACACCCTCCATATACTCCGTGATTGAAGGAGGGCTCCACCCAATGAGATAATTGCACAACAGCAAGTAAAATGCTGAAAATCTTCTATCCAGTGGGCTAAGGCAGACCCCAACCTCGTTTGGGGTTGGCCACACCCCCAACCGATTGAAAAGATTCTGGCGGGAAGCTGTCTTTGCACGGGCATGCCCAGGAGAGGAGGAGGGGAACGAAGATCTCCTTACTTTTTCGGGTAATACGTGTAAAATACTGACGGTGGGATCGCGAGTAGTGCACGACAGGATTTGGATCACTCAACTGCCCCACAAACTCGTTTCTATCCTATCCCGTTGCTAGTGGGACCTCGCCCCTTTTCAGAACCACTCGCGTACAAGGCCGCCCACGTGGATGTAGGTTATATATATATATATATATATATATCGTCACAATATATATATATATATATATATATATAGATAGATATGAGGAACAAGCCCTCAAGGGTCCCTATCAGACATCACATTGTTCTGGGCTAAGGCCCCCAGCAAGCCAAGTGCCCCCCCTAAGTGAAGGTAGGCCTGAATGTTTGTCAAGGCAAAATTTGACATTTCCATATGTGGGTATTCAGGCTCTCGCAGCACGCCAGTTGGTTGGGAAGACACATGAGCCTCACATTGCTGCGTCATACAGTTGGCGCAGGCCTTGACAGTTGCGCCTGGGCACACATACACAAAGCAGGGCCGATACATTGGGAAGCAGGGGTTCGGCCTTCGCAAAAGCAGTAGTGCCGATGCACCTGCCTGGGAGCATTGCACAGATGTAGGAGCCCTGCACAGATGCAGCAAACAGCCCAAGTCCGGAGACTCAGGCCGTGCCTAACTGCAAAGGGCCCAGGCCCGAGACTACGGGCCTGAGCGCAGGGTCTGGAACCCGACCGGAAGCTACTGGAAGCTTCCAGCCAGGCCACACGCAGCATCCAGGAGGCTGCCACTACCACGAAAGGAATGACGCATCCCAGGCCAGGCATTCTGGCCAGTGCTGGCAATGCGGAAGTGCTGCTGCGCTCTTGCTTGATGCTGCGCTGCTGCCAAGGGCGCTGACGGGGCGCGAGAGGTGTCGTGGGGCGCTGCAGGGCAGCGGGGCGCGGTCAGCCATAGCCGGGTTGCTGGGCGCCAGGGGGTACAGCGGATGATCAGGTGGTCTTCAGGGAAGGAGGCGCTGTGTGGGGTAATCAAGGTCTGATTGAGGGTGACGAGATACGTACCTGGTACATGAAGAGAGGTTGGCGATGGTGTTGGCAGTTATGCACATTGGTCTTCGTGCGTCGAAGTGATCCTGTTGCATGAACCATCTGGCAGTTGTAGGTAGGATAGTCGGGTAGAGTATACTAGGCGCTGAGCGCCAGACAGAGCAGAGCGACTTTGGATACTGTGTTGGTGTGGCCTACGGGCTTGAACATTGGCTCATTACTTCATCGTATTGCTCTATATGGATGGTTTTCTCGGTGCATTTGTACTTTCTGCTTGGGACACGACTACTTGGACAGCTGTGTGATTTTGCAATTTGGTTTAAATTTATGCATGTCGCTTACACTCATATTCCTTGCGATTTGGTATCGGAGCTGGTTGGTGATCATCGCTTACCTGGCACCGGCAACATTGTGACTTGGTGCCTGTGCCGTACCCTCGTTCACCGTTCACGGGGGTTGTGAACGGGGGCCGGCCACCGTTCACGGAAAACGTGAACGTCGGTAGTCATGGCAGGAGAGGGCGCTGCCTCACGGAAAACTTGAGTGTCCTCTCTTTTTGAAAGGAGTCGTGTGCGCTCTATCTTGAGAGACGACATTCTTCCCGGTGGCGCATCTGGCAGGAGAGGGCGATGCCTCTGAAGGGCCCTGGTCGAAGCACGGGTCACGGTCATCATGCCAACCCATGGGTATTAGTACACGCAGGCCATGCTGCTTTGTCCATTGAGGCTCTTTGTTGCGCTGATAGAAGGGGTGTGTGGACTGACCAGTCCTATGTTGACGCTCCTAGACCGTCTATAAACATTTCTGGTTGGGGTCTGAACTGTCCACTGGTTGTGATCATCGTCCTGATTGCGACGTTAAAGAATTCTTGAGGACTCTCGGGGGCTGTCCATAAATTGCCTCTTGATCAACCAGATCAGTCAGATGTAAGGCTCGTTGCACGTGAGGGTAAATAAAGGGCAGGCTGGTCATAAACATACTTCTTGGGCACAGGGGTGGGCCGTGGTTGCACACCTTAGACACCGCGCTTGATGATGCTCATAGGTACGTTGGATACAGGGGAAGGGGATTCCAATTCCGAACTCAACTTTACAGCACTAAATTATCCATTGTGCATACATCTGCTTACTGTAGTTTATTTTTATCTTGATTAGTTGGTTGAAAGACTGCTAAATACCTAACAGACAGCCTGGAGTAGGACTGTAATCTACCATAGTCAGTTCTTCTTAAAGCTTA